CTCCCCCTCCCCCAAAAAAAAATGTATATCCACCAATTGTATAATCTCCGAAACGAATATTTGTTTTTTCATGAACAATTTGTTTTTAAATTTTAATATGAATCTCGAAAAAAAACATTGGAATATGAAAATAATAATAAAAAATTCGCGACAAATTCGACGATTTAAATAATTTCTCGTTGTTCTCAATAGAAAATCATACCCCCTTCCCCCTCTTTCTCTCTCCCCTATCCATCCTGGTTAAAATCTTTTAATAATCGTCGATTCGACGCCTTATCTCTGAATTCAACAAAAAAATTCTTCTTTATAAAAATCTAACATAAAAGTAGATAAGTAGACAAACCCATGCATCAATATCAAACGTTATAAGAAATTCTACGTATCCGAAGGGAAAAGTATCAAATCGGTGGAAAAGAAAAAAATATAAGAAAAAGAAAGAAAGGGGAACAAAAAAATGAGAAAAAGAAGTTAGAAAAGGATAGGATGGGAATCTATTTGAAATTCTTCGGCCGACTATCATCGCACGCTAGATGAAAACTAGACGAAAGAAGTTCTTTTCAATCGTTTCTATTCGTCCATAAAGTAGTATATGTGTGTGTGTGTATATATATGGGTAGGTAGGTAGGCGATAAAAGAAGAAAAAAAAAAGAAAGAAAAGAAAGAAAGATGCGGGTCCGATGCAAAGTGGGGATTTGCGATGAAATCGACAGCTTCGTCGACAATTCAGCACCGAAAACGTTCCGGTATCGATCAAAGTCTTAAAACTCGGCTATTGGGAAAGGTAATGCTGGTGTGTTGGTAAAAGGAATTGAGAGAAGGGGTTGGATAGAAAAGGGGGGAAGGGGGGTGGTTTGGATAGACAACGTTACGACCATGGGAACACAATAAATCCTTTAGATTGTCGTGGGATTGTAAAAACGAACGAATGAAAAATCAAATTCGAATTTTTCACCGGTTGAATTCGAATCGTTTAATCACCCCCCTTCTCTGTTATTTTTTTTCTTTTTCTTTTTAAATATCTCTCCAAGCGGTGTTCTATATATTTTTGTTTTGTTTTGTTAAAACTATCTAGTATTATCTTCTTCACCCCAGTTTTATGTTGATACGTGCACCATGTATACGCAAGGACAAAAATTCAGAACAACGAAATATAATCAAATGTAATAAGATAAAGTGAAATTAGAAAAATAGAGTAATGCGAGTTTAATCTCGCGTGGCCAATGTTTTTAATCTCACATTTCGTGGTTTTAAATATACAAAAAAAAAAAATTGCAGCCACCATTCGGTTGGATATCGTCGAACACGAATCTCAGCGATAACGCGTACTTCTAGAGAGTAGAATTAAAACAAAAAAAAAAAAAAACGAAAGAAAACTGGTAAAGAAAGTTAAAAATAGTTAATTGACCGAGAAATTTGAATTTCTTTTTTCTTATATACTTAATCCTTAACTCTGGTTCTAATTAACGTAAGAATAAATTCGAGTTCGAGCGTGAATGCACATTTATTATGTGCAAAAGCGAGAAATTCTATACGTATACACATATATAAATAATAATAATAATAATTAATTAATTATTTATGTATATCACTATGTATATAATTATCTCGCATCGGTAAACGCGAGATCTAATCCATGAAACAAATTATCACTTTCAGCTATACCATCCGATCTAACGAATTAAAAATAAATAAAAAAAAAAACGAATTAAACATACAGAGAGACACACTGTAATGCACATGCAATTTAAAATATGAATTCTTCCCATGGCGTCCTACCATTCTTACAGTTTGACAAATTTTTCTTACGAACAGAACTCTATATATAAAAAAAAAAAAAAAAACAAAAAAAAATATATATATATATGATATGATATAATATACGAGAAAACGATAATAATAATAAAACAGAAACTAATAATATATATATATATAATATATCGACGAGTATATATATATTAGAAAATAATCGACAATCATTTTTCAAGTTCGAATTGATGAAAAATCCATTCGATCAAAGTGTCCCTTATATAATATATTTTCTTTTTTTTTCATTCTTTTTTCATTTCTCCTTTTTTTTTTCCAGATCATTTAAAAAAATACAAACATATATGTATCTCTACCTGTGTGAGTCTTGAAAAAAAGATAATATATATAAA